ATGTAAATCTGCACAGGTGTCACAATCTACCACCAATAAATATTCACTTTTGTATTGCTGTAAACCCATATATCAATATTAATGGGCATATCGAATAATGGTAACAGCAAGAAACTATCACACTTAAAAAAAATAAAAAATAAAAGGCAAGAGCGAAAGTAATTTTTTACTAAAGGACATACAAAGTTATAAATATTTTGGTTCAATTTCCATACAAGTTTATTACTGACTGTTTCAAATCAAATTAGTATGTTGAAAATCAATATACCAAGTGTAGGATTGGGGAAGCGACCAAACAGCACTCTTAATACTAAAAATGCATACAGAAGATATATATATAAAAAAGAAAACAGCATACACTAATGCAGGTGTATGCAACCTTTGTCATTCCAGATGTTGTGGACTTAACCCATGATGCTGGCAAAGCATCATGGCAGGGGTGGGTCCAAAACCTGGAACTGACACAAGTAGGTTTAATGGCTATTAGAAATGTTATAATAAAAAAAAAAGACTCAACATATATATGAAAAAAACAATATATTGGAAATTAAACTAAAAATTACAATAATAAAATAATAGGCAATGGGGGTATGTTGCCCAAGGAATATTTGATTGTACCTTAACCCCTTCAGGACGAGTGACGGACGAGGTCTGTCACTCTGAGGAAACCCTTAATGACGAGTGACGGACCTTGTCCGTCACGCGGTAAAATTAACCCCTGATCGCCGCTATTGCGGCGATTGCGGGGTTAATGGTGCTCCGGTCTGCCTCTCTATTAGAGGCAGACCGGGAGCACCCGATCAGGCTGCCCAGCACATGTGCTCGCTCTGACCGCATGTCAGAGCGAGCACATGTGCTTAGTATACTTACCTTCCGCCTCCCTGCACTTCCTGGTTCTGTGTGAAGTGCTGGGAGCCGGAACAGTGATGATCCTGCCCCCTGTTGGAAAAAAAATAAAGTTCATTTAAAATTCCACCCCCCTTTACCCATTTTAATAAAAAATTAACCCTTTCCCTGCCAATTGATCACTGAGTACAGTGATCAATTGGCAGGGATTACATTTTACTATGATCTGATTTTTTTTAAAATTAATTAATTAAATAAATTTAACCCCTGAGGGTTAAAAAAAAAAAGAATTAACCCTCAGGGGTTAAATTTATTTAATTAATTAATTTAAACATTTTAAAATTATATATTTAGCTAGCTGGGGTGGGTGGAAGTTAGTGGGGGTTTGGGGGATTTGGCGTTAGTCTAACTAGGGGTTAACGTTAAAAAAAGTTTTAAAATAAACTTTAAAAAGTAAAAAATTAAGCTTAAAAAAGTTTTAATAACGTTTAAGTAAAAAATAAAAAAAAACAACCCCTTTACCCAGTCCAAATAAAAATTAACCCCTTCCCTGCCAGTCGATCACTGCCTACAGTGATCAAATAAAATCAAATTTTTTTTAACCCATGAGGATTAACTTATTTATTTTTTAACCCTCAGGGGTTCAATTTATTTAATTAATTAATTTAAATATTTTATAACTATATATTTTGCTAGCTGGGGTGGGTGGGAGTTATGGGAAAATGGGGAATTTACTGTTAGTGCTGCGTACTGCTAGTTAGGGGTTAACGGTAAAAAAAAAAAGCTTAGAAAAATGTTAAATCTGTAAAAAAAGTTTTAAGAAAGTTTAGGAAAGTTTAAAAAAATTAATAAGCAAAACAAAAGTTTAAAAACTAGTTTTTAAAAGTAAAAAAAGTTTCAAAAAGTTAAAAAATACATTTAAAAACACTCATTACCACTACACCTAGAACAAACTAGAGAAAAAATGATCCCACGCTAAGGTTCAAAATATGCCTTTTGAATTACCCCAGGGTGTATTCTTTAATAAATAGTATGTGTTTGTGGGGAAGTTTCAATAACCAACCGTCTAAACTACTCCAAATTGGAACATGGACACAGCGTAAAACTTCAAAGTTAGAAAAAAACTGAATGGCTGCGTCTCAAATGCGCCCCTTCAACATTCACATATACCTGGCAAAGGTACATACGGGGATATTGCTGTACTCAGCCGACATAGCTGAGCAACATATGAAGTATTATACAGTCGTAGCACACATAAGGTTTCCAAAATATACTGCGCAAACTAACTTTGTGTGAAAAAAAGGCAGAAAAAATGCTTATTACCACTACACCTGGTACAAGCTAGTGGAAAAATGATCCCACGCTAAGGTTCAAAATATACCTTTTGAAATACCCTGGGGTGTCTACTTTAAGAAATGGTAGGCCTTTGTGGGGTAGTTTGAATTTAAAACCTGCGAAGATGCTTGGAAATTGCACATAGGCCCAGCGTCAAAATTCAAAGTTCGGTGAAAACGGATATGGCTTGTTCTCCTATATGGCACTGTAGCTTCACGAAATAGTGCCAAAAACATTCATTGGGGGTCTCATTTTACTCAGAAGACTTAGCTGAGCATAATTTGGGAGGTTTGAATTTAGTGGCACATATGAAATATACAAAATGCCCAGCAAAAATGCAATTCGTATGTAAAAAATGCACAAAATTATTTTTTACCACATACTTTGGCATATAATGGTGAAAAAATGGGGGCATGTTAAGGCACAATATGCACCTTATGAGATACCCTGGAGTGTCTACTTTTACAAATGGTAGGCCTTTGTGTGTTTTTTTGAACAGTCAAACTGTTATAATACCCCAAATGGAAGCTAAGGCTCATTAAATCCATCTCTCAAAATTCTACTGTGAATACTGAAAAGGACAGGTCTCCTATATGGCACTGTAGCTTCACGAAATAGTGCCAAAGTCATACAATGTGGGTGTCTTTTTACTCAGAAGACTTAGCTGAGCATAATTTGGGGGTTTGAACTTAGTGGGACATATGAAATATACAAAATGCCCAGCAAAAATGCAATCCATATGTAAAAAATGCACAAAATTATTTTTTATCACATACTTTGGCATATATTGGTGAAAAAATGGGGGCATGTAAAGGCACAATATGCACCTTATGAAATACCCTGGAGTGTCTTCTTTTACAAATGGTAGGCCTTTGTGGGGTTTTTTTGAACAGTCAAACTACTAAAATACCCCAAATGGAAGCATAGGCTCATTAAATCCGTCTCTCAAAATTCTACTGTGAATACTGAAAAGGACAGGTATCCTATATGGCACTGTAAATTCACGAAATAGTGCCAAAGACATACAATGAGGGTGTCATTTTACTCAGCAGATGTAACTGAACACAAAATAAAACTTTGTACAGGAATAGCACACGCTAACTTTACAAAATATACATGAGAATTTCTTTGTTATAAGTTTACTCCAATATTTAGCAGAGGTTGGCGGTGAAATGGCTACGTAGAAAGTGTCAAAACAACCTTAGGTATATAGCCCGTGATGTCTACTTTATTTAAATATATACTTTTGTGTGGCAATTTTGTTTTCTTTTATGGCTATTAAGCTTACAAGACAAACATACCAAATTCTAAAATCGCTCCACATTAAAGGTTTAGTTTACTCCTTGTGCTTTGTGACCTGTAACTACCAAAAAAACCTTAAAATCTCAGAAACATGATATATTCTGTAAATCAGAACAACTAAATGAATTTATTTTTAATTACTTTCCTTAACCTGCACTAATTGTGCACACAATATTGCAAAAACTGTAAAAAAAACAATTTTTTTTTTGTTTGCATTTTTCTGTATTTATTTTATAATAAATAAGCATTTATATATATATATATATATATATATATATATATATATATATATATATATATATATATATATATGTTACATCAAATTAAAGCCCTTTCATATGTGTCGGTGCAATAATTTAGTAAAATGCAAATTGCAGTTGAACGCAAACACCAAAAAATGAAAAAAATGTTGTTGTCATTAAGTGAAAGACAAGCTTTTGAAGCTCTGTCCTTAAGGGGTTAAAATCAACTATAGTAACAAAACATAAGGCTGCATAGTCCACACTATATATAATACTATATATAGTTACACAACTATCACTAAAAGTAGTTCAAATAAATGGTAATGGAAAATACACTTATACTTAAAAAAATTAAATGTAAAAAATATATCAACAATAGTGATGTCCCGAACGGTTCGCTGAACGGTTCGCGAACGGTTCGCCACGGACTCATCATTGAGTAAACTTTGACTCTGTACCTCACAGTCAGCAGACACATTCCAGCCAGTCAGCAGCAGACCCTCCCTCCCAGACACTCCCACCTCCTGGACAGCATCCATTTTACATTCATTGTGAAGCTGCATTCTTAGTGAGCTGTCCAGGAGGTGGGAGGGTCTGGGAGGGAGGGTCTGCTGCTGATTGGCTGGAATGTGTCTGCTGACTGTGAGGTACAGGGTCAAAGTTTACTCAATGATGAGTCCGTGGTGAACCGTTCGTGGCGAACAGTTCGCGAACCGTTCGGCGAACCGTTCGGGACATCACTAATCAACAAATAAAAAAAAAATAGGTTAGTCTCATTAGATATATATATATATATATATAGTGAATTCCTTAGAGTCTGTGAATCAGTCCATGCGGGACAACAGTAAAATAAGCAGTCCAATGTAGCAAATTGTCCCAATGTTACAATGAAAACAGTGTTTAAATTTTGAGACAGAATTGCAAATATGTACCAGATCGATTAGGAAGCTCACTGACCATTGAAGCAAGTCACTATATAATGTAAATCACTTGGGTCTTCTGCTCAGTCTGAATAGAAAAATGATACACCAGTAGTGTACAATGTAAGAACACATTTATTTACATGTATTTATTTTTTTCCCAATTAGATTAAAGCAGTTACTTGATCACAGAATAGAGGTCACACGTATGGAGATGCAGCTCCTATGAACAACTTTTTCTTTCTACAAGCAGTTAACATGGTTCAAACAGATTGCAAATTATATGAAACACACGTTTAACAATATTTATTAATAACCTAGATACACACTAGGGTCAATTACACAATGGAAATCTCCTATCTCCTACTTAAATAGTTTTAAGTGCCCATGGCAGTAGCTAGCTAGCTAGAAACAGCAGTAAACTAAACCTACACTTGAATCAATGACCCAGGATATCTTTGATTCCCACATTGGCACGTCAGTGGTAGAAGACAAGTATCACTGCTGTTTCCCTCTGTAGCTGCAGGTAAAGTGTCTGGAAAAGTCCTACTTGGAAGCACACATTGTTTTACTGCTACTCTTTTGCTCAGTTGTCATATGATCTGTGTATCACATCAACATTTCTAGGTAGTTCTCTATCTATCAATCTTTCTTCTCTACCCCATAATTGAACAGGAAATCCAGACAACATGGGCAGATCTCTTGTCCCCCATGGCAACCTAAGCTGCTTATTTATTCTCCTCCAAATAAACAGTCAACATTTGCATCATTCTGTCCTCCTTTTTTCTGGTGCCAGGAACGACACTATGAATCAAGAACTGAAATTAAAAAAAAACATGTCAGGTTTGCATGAGTCAGTCCCTCTGATTTTTTGCCATGTGCCAGCTTGGAAATCTGAACTTTGGTCAATCACCTAATCAGAGCAAATTCGGCCAAACTGCAGTTCAGCATAAATTTATCAGAATTGCAGCTCTGCCCAAAACTAATCTCCAAGGCTAGTAAAAAAATTATCTTGCTTATCTTTTACATACACACAGATATTTATAGCCAGATAGATAACAACTGGTATGAAAATAGCTGAGCATATAATCATTCCAATTACTTAACCATGTATTTAGAACAACATGTAGATTAAAAAATACCATAAACCTAAACATATAAAAATATCAAATAATATAAAATATCAAAGTCTATACATAAAGCAAAACAAAATCTGCTGTGTTTGAATTTGTACAGCTTGTCTTACAAGCCAACCAATTAGAGTGACCTACTTGTATTCCTAAGCATGGGAAGGCCTTTAAAGGTTTATCTGCACATTTTTTTCTGTGGCATGGTTTTTATTTTTTCATAGTTTTTTTTTTCCGGTTCAGATCTTTTTAAAATTTTAATAGAGTAGAGATAATATGGATTTTGATTTACCCTTTTTGTGGCTGAAGAAAATATAAGAAAAATAGACTTATGATTGCACATTTGATGTATTTATTTATTTATTTTTTACAGGTATTAGCTTTTTTTTAGCCCTCTTTAACTATTACTAGGGTATGGGGTAAGGTAGGGAATATGCTTTTCTTTTTATTAAGGGCAGCTAGGGGCTTGGGGACCTCTAGCCACAATAGAGGATGTAGGGGGATTGGCACCAGTGTTTGGGAAGGCGATGCATGTCCTCCACCCTTACTGAAACATAGAAACATAGAATGTGACGGCAGATAAGAACCATTCGGCCCATCTAGTCTGCCCAATTTTCTAAATACTTTCATTAGTCCCTAGTCTTATCTTATAGTTAGGATAGCCTTATGCCTATCCCACGCATGCTTAAACTCCTTTACTGTGTTAACCTCTACCACTTCAGCTGGAAGGCTATTCCATGCATCCACTACCCTCTCAGTAAAGTAATACTTCCTGATATTATTTTTAAACCTTTGTCCCTCTAATTTAAGACTATGTCCTCTTGTTGTGGTAGTTTTTCTTCTTTTAAATATAGTCTCCTCCTTTACTGTGTTGATTCCCTTTATATATTTAAATGTTTCTATCATATCCCCCCTGTCTCGTCTTTCCTCCAAGCTATACATGTTAAGATCCTTTAACCTTTCCTGGTAAGTTTTATCCCGCAATCCATGAACCAGTTTAGTAGCCCTTCTCTGAACCCTCTCTAAGGTATCAATATCCTTCTGAAGATACGGTCTCCAGTACTGTGTACAATACTCCAAGTGAGGTCTCACCAGTGTTCTGTACAATGGCATGAGCACTTCCCTCTTTCTACTGCTAATACCTCTCCCTATACAACCAAGCATTCTGCTAGCATTTCCTGCTGCTCTATTACATTGTCTGCCTACCTTTAAGTCATCAGAAATAATCACCCCTAAATCCCTTTCCTCATATGTTGAGGTTAGGACTCTATCAAATATTCTGTACTCTGCCCTTGGGTTTTTACGTCCAAGATGCATTATCTTGCACTTATCCACATTAAATGTCAGTTGCCACAATTCTGACCATTTTTCTAGTTTACCTAAATCATTTGTCATTTGGCTTATCCCTCCTGGAACATCAACCCTGTTACATATCTTAGTATCATCAGCAAAAAGACATACCTTACCATCAAGACCTTCTGCAATATCACTAATAAAAATATTAAAGAGAATGGGTCCAAGTACAGATCCCTGAGGTACCCCACTGGTGACAAGTCCAAGCTTCGAATATATTCCATTAACTACAACCCTCTGTTGCCTGTCACTCAGCCACTGCCTTACCCATTCAACAATATTGGAATCCAAACTTAAAGATTGCAGTTTATTGATAAGCCTTCTATGTGCAACAGTGTCAAAAGCCTTACTGAAATCTAGGTAAGCAATGTCTACTGCACCACCCTGATCTATAATTTTAGTTACCCAATCAAAAAATCAATAAGATTAGTTTGGCATGATCTCCCTGAAGTAAACCCATGTTGTCTCTGATCTTGAAATCCATGTGTTTTTAGATGTTCATCAATCCTATCCTTTAACATGGTTTCCATCACTTTCCCCACTACTGAAGTAAGGCTTACTGGCCTATAGTTGCCCGACTCCTCCCTATTACCTTTCTTGTAAATGGGCACAACATTCTATCCAAAGCACATGAGTGGGGATAGTTTCAGTTTAACATATACAGTTGTTTCTATTATACTTTTTACAGTGCTATCATTTAAAGTGAGATTTTCTGGTAAAGTGAATTCAAATTGAATTTCAAATTTAAGACCAATATAGCCAAACAGAAAAAAAGAATTGACTTGGAGAATCTCTCTAATTTGGTTATTTTGAAATTCAACTTGAATTCACTGAATATCCAGCAGTTCTCACTTGAGTGTACAACCACGATCTATGGGCTTTCAGATTAGAGAAACACTTATTAGTTATCTGTAGCCAACAGATAGATAATAGGATATGTATTATAACGTTTTCACTAACGTTTCCACTAAGTGGTTTTCTCTTAATAGAGCATATTCTGAGAATGAATCACTTAACAGTAGATAATTAAGTGCTATTTCCATTATAGTGGGGTGTTATCACTGTTTATCTGGAAATGATATCTGAAACAGTAACTGCGTCATTTCTGTAATGTGTTGATTGCTGTTAATACATGTTTATATTTATATTCTAGATGAAGGAGCCCGAGGAAAAAAGAATGTATTTCTTCGCAAAATTAAAAATGAGTAAGTATTTGCCCCGCTTTTCTGTCACATGTACTATTCTGTCAAAACCAAGCTGTTGGCATATTCTGCTTATAGGGGTAAAATATGCTGCAAAGTAGCTCCTGATTGTAGTTGTAGTACATGTTTACAATGACTAATGCAAAATATACGTTTTAATGCATCTGCATTCTTCTGTATATCTTGTGCTAGATTAACAGTGCTGCACATATATAAATATATATATATATACATACAGTTATTTAAGATCAAATATACTTACAGGAACATTTGAGGCGTCAAAACACATCTATTTCGTCATCTGTGGGAAAAAATATAAATAGGTCAGCTTTTTGGCAGACAACAAGTTCGTCATGCAAGCTTATTTAACCTATATATATGTGGGGAATTTCTCTGGCAAAATGTAAAGATTAAAAGTGAACTCTCTCCTTAAGGGCAACATGTCATCCATATTTTCCTTTCAAATGGTTATTCATTTAGGTGAGAACTGTTGTGAATTGTTGTGTGAATTTAAAATTTAAGGCAAAGAAGCAGAACTGGAGGCATACCAAGTATACCAGTTTAGCTATGTTGTCCTTAAATTTGAAATTCACTCTGAATTACTGACAAACCTCACTTTAGTGAATAAGCCTGTAACTGTGATTCTTAAAATGTAAAAACCCTCCACTGCCATTTAAAAAAAAAATATTGACCAGTACTATGCTTTCTAAAAAAAAAAAAAAACTACTTTTTAATTCTTTGATCAACTTTTGTGGAAAATGAACTTACAAGATGCAGTGCCCTAACTCACTAAATATCAAATTCAAAGCTAACAACATTTAATGCTTTTTTTTTCTACAAGACTCAGGCAAAAATAATGGGGTTTAGTTACAATATATGATCATGCATTACATAAACCTGCCACATCGCCAATGTACCACATTTTTGGAAGGTCCTATTCTAGCAACATTATGGGATTGATCCACTTTGGAAATATTTCCTCCTGAGGTTCTCTGCAGTGCAAGGATAAATATGACCCTGGAATGAGACACCTGTAAAAGGGAGGGGAGAAAAACTTGGGACTCCCAAATATATTTGCATATAAATAATAGATCGTGAACAACATATGTGGTGATCAGTTTTCTGCACAATTCTTCTTTTTATTACTCTCACAGATCATCATATAGAAGGATGTATGCCATAATGATTTATGGCATGAGTGGATTAAGAGTACAGTTCATTGACGATTTTGAGGAATGACCCAAGTGTGTGTGTGTGTGTATATATATATATATATATATATATATATATATATATATATATATATATGTGTGTATAGTGTCCTCTTAAAAGCAACTTTTTTAGCAACTTCCTTGTTAGGTGTACTCTCACTATATACTCAGCTCAGCCAATGAGAGATCAGTATGGGCTGAGTTGCATACATGACTTCACCAGACAACTAATCCTCTGCTTATCTGCCCACTTTCCCTTTGGCATGACTTTGAGTTACTATACAGATTGGAAAAAAAACTATTATTTTCTGAGGGGCAGATTCAAATCAACATTTTAGCTCCCCCTTGTATGAGTTAGACTGTTTATTAGACTTGTACAAAGTGGAAAAAATTGGTTCTGTCAAATTAATTTAGAGGAAAATATTTTTTAATTCGGATGACCAAATTTCACCGACACAGCATTTTGGTTTATCTGAATTCCATTTAAAATATTTAAATTGGCAAGGAGGACAGGAAGTCCTCAATTAAAGGGGAAGCAACTGGATCAATACACGTTTCGTGCCTTTAAGGCACTTCATCACAAAATGGACATCTCCGGGGCAATAATTATTTTCTACAGGGAGACTGGGCAACTACTGGGCAATGTTTAGGGCAATTATGTTATACACTCTCCAAGAGAATAGGCATTTCTAGGGTC